CCCCAAGTACACATTGCCTTTTTTGCAGAAACTGATCGCTAACCATGTACAAAGAGGAACACAAATAATTTAGTCACGCCCAGCACGCTTCTTCTCCCAAAACGAACTCCTAACGTTAATTAAATGATAGTTGCAACTGTGTTTCGTATAGATTTGCGTCTTATTCGTAGTTGTTAGATTTTTATCGGTGGATGGACATTGTCGTCGTTTTTACTTATTACAAGATCGTAAATGTTGAGTAAACGGAGAACGATATAGTATGATTTTTTTTCACTGTGTGTGTGTGTATATATATATATAAAGCATCAAACAGAAACCCTATCAGATGTAAAAAAAAAAGATTATTATGTAATGATTAACCAATAAATTTGTAGACGGTCTGTTTATTGAGAAAGGAAGCTTCAGATTCTATTGATACTTCGATTTGGAAATATATTTCATGGTGAATACAAGTTCAACATAAGAGGCACCGCAATGACGCAATGAGGGTATGTGTGAAATTAGCCGTTACTTAGTAATGCTTGCTGAAAGGTGAATTACAGTCTACTCAATTAGTTTCGACTTTACAGTATGTAGCACTTTAGCTTTATCCACCTGCCTCCATTTTGCTTAACAATCATTGACCAGCTAATATTCCTGAAAATTGAGGAACTGACGCGCTTTCTCACATTTCATCTGTACGGTCACCATGCCCACTGTTTAATAACAGGTTAAAGTCGAGCAGGTTTCTGGTGTGTCGCACACACTTTTTGATTGTCTTGATTTACGTCAAACATATCACGAGTCATCTTTTCCCAGGACTAAAAATGATTTAATAAATAAAATCGGCAGCCAGCGTTTTAACCAATGACTATCACACTATAAAACCCCCCATGGAAGAACGAGCGAGCATGTTCGGTGATGAGATTCGAACCCTAACCGCCAGGACCCAATTCATCGTAGACCTGTACACATGTAGACTATGCATACATATTTCACCCGTATTTTACACGGTTCTCCCTTCAGACTATCCATCCCAAATAAACAAACTGACTTCATTACCACTCTGTATATTTTATCAGTTTTATCTGATAACTTGTATTAGTCCTAATACTCGTATGTAACTATGCGTTTTAAGCCTACATATCTGACCAATGTTGTCTTGGCTACACATTAAATCAAAAATTAATTATACAAATAAATAAATTCAAGGTTAAAAATATGCAATGCACTATATTACATGAAAAAAATACGGTTAACTGTACATCGACTAAATATTTCTTCTCTCAAATTCATATCCACTACTTGTGTATGCGCCTGAAGTTGAAACAAATGTATCGTGGTTTTGAAAGCGTATTTACTTTCATATAAAAAAAAAAAAGACAGGAGTGTAAGGGTTTGCAGTTATGAAAATTGGTAACAAGCCTCCAAAATTTTGTGCACTAACACATTTTCATCAAGGAAACATGAAGACTGGATCCTGAAGATTCTTCCACGAGTAAATACCCATATCCTGCTTAAGAAATCCACACTTTCTTCGTATAGTGCCAGACAAAGACATTCTGAAACAACAAGAAAACGTAGCCAATGGATTTATTGATGAATACAAAGTAACGATATTATGTTTTGAATTAATTAAAAGGCAAGTTTTTTCATAAGTAAGTATACTTGACTGTCCACTTCAAATCCATGCAAGTTATTGGGATCCCCCTGCAGTCTCATCAGCAGTCCCCCGAACGACACGTACGCTGCCCTGTCAAATAAAACACGATTAATGAGCTACAAAATTCACTGAATGACCTTTAATAATGTATTTATGAAATGTATATACAAAACTAAAGGCCACATGATTTGGAAAACTCGTTTATCAAATTACATTCTTACTCAAATAGTACTTAATTCTTTAACATAATATTTGGCTAACACCAAACCAATATCTTCTTGCGTGCAACGAAATCAGTCTATGACATTTTAAAATGATATACAAGCGAATAGCGATTGGTTTAAACAAACAATTCAACGTCATATAGTTTCTATATACTAACTTCAAACTGATATGAACAATGTTTATTTTTTGGAACGCTTTACTGCAATGCGATATTGTAGTTCTGAAAATATAGTACTGTGTATAATACTGTTTTGACAGTAAGATATATATCGTTACTCATATCCGTCATGGCATTATTATGATTGTGTTTTTTTTTGAGTCATATGATACCATTCAGGCAGAAATAAAAATAATATTTTTTGCAAAGAAAACTATTATCACACAGTAGACGTACACCAAATGTTAATTTAATTGGTTATAATGCAAGTACACGAAACTGAACAATCACTGTGTGAACTATAAGTTAACAAGAATGTTTCTTATTTTAAGTTTTATGAAGTGTATGAGTATGTGAAAGTTACTGAGCGAACGTCATGTGAATTATACGCTAATAATTTTTCTTATTTTAAGGTTTATGAAGTGTACATGATGCACTTTCACATGCAAACTACAACTATTTTTAAAACAAACTTTTTAAAGTTAGAAACCAAAACTAGGCGATAGCTAGCTAGAGATTTCCTTAATTGTCCAAGTTATAAATAAGAAACGCACACACACACACACAATAAAAAGTTAATTTTAC